GAGAGGGAGGGAGGGGGGTGGAGAGAGAGAGAGAGAGAGAGAGAGAGAGAGAGGACAGAGAGAGACAGAGAGTCAAGTCATTGTTTCAAATGAAGGATTGAGGTGAGGCAGATAAAGAGAGTGTGGATCCCTGGAGGGTGCCTCCATCTTGCTATCTTGCTAAATCCCTGGGCCATTCCTAGCGCACCCTGCTCCTTCCTTGCTGCCCCTGATGGAAGGGACTCCTCCTGGCCTTTGTTACACTATCATCTTAGCTTCCCTCTATTCTTCTGGGATATATTCCCCTTGGTTCTACTAATATTTCCTAGGATACATTTTTGGTTTTATTCTCACCCTGCGGATGAGGGGGTGGTACCTTCACAACTTGCATAGCTCTGACCCTCTCCCACTATACAGGCAACATTCTAAAATGTTCGTAAAGAACTGGAAGTCTAGTTGCAGGTTTGACTCCATTAGTCTATAGGCCTTATCTCTTGTTTATCTTGGTGCCTCTTGGTGTCTCTTCCTATTACAAGCTGTGTAGCCAAACTGTAAGTACTTGATAAACGTGAACAAATGAATGACTCTTCCTTAAGCCATTTTGCAAATGAGGGCTTATTACTGAGTCTCTTAAACTTTCAATCTCTCCATGAGTATTAGAAATAAAGTTTATAGGGTCAGAGACATAAAACAGAGATTAGTGTCCTTGCCTGGAATGTGGCAGACCCACCCCAGTTTGATCCAGACCACTGCATATGGTTCTCTGAACATTGCAAGAAATGATCCCTGCACATGGAGCTGGGAGTACTTTTCGAACATTCCTGGGTGTGGTTCAAAAACTGCTAAAATAAAATTTATATCCAAAGACTTACTTTGGGGATGAAATAAGGTTATGCGCATTTATTTAGCACTTAATAAATGTTAACTACCAGGGGCTGGAGCGATAGCACAATGGATAGGGCATTTACCTTGAACGCAGTCGGCCCGGGGTTCGATTCCCAGGATCCCATATGGTTCCTCAAGCACCACCAGGAAAAATTCTTGAGTGCATTGCTGGGTATGACACAAAAAGAAAGAAAAATGTTAACTACCATTATTATTTAAAATGGGGTGTTTTTGCTATATTGCCTTTATATCTTGGGTTTCTTTGAAAAGGTTTATGGTGGTCTGTAAGTATTGCCACCTAGTAATACCTGAGGACCAGGGGTACACTTGGCAGTGCTGGGGGCCCGTGGTGATAGGGAGGTTTCTGTGGTTCCCGGGATCAAACTCAGGGCCTCATACATGCAAGGCATGTGCTCTTGCCACTTGAGCCATATCCCAGACCTCAATGCCATTGATGTTATTTTTATTGCAGCACTTGCATGGTTTGGGATGAGATACTGAACTTATCTAGGCCTCAATACCATTCTCTCCAACAACCAGCTCTCCAGCAGGGCTCTTAAAAGAGTCCAGTGATGCAGGGAGACAGGCCACAGTAGGTGTGTCATAAAGGTCAGTTGTCTCCCATTAATCTCTCCCCTTCTCCACCCCTGGAGACCCCTCACCACCCTGGAGTGTTTTATCCCTCAATGGGTCAAGAGAGTGACAATGGAGAAAAAAGTGTTGGGTATTGTGGCTGAGCTCCCAGGCACGGTTAAAAAACAAAGAACATTCCTTTAAACCTTGAGGATCTACATTCCATTAACACTTGCTTCGCTCAGCTGAGTCTTCCTAAAGAGCTTAATGTAAACTAAAGTGGAGAAAGGAGGGGGGAAAAAAAAAGATCTAATGCCAAATCCACTCAGAGGCATTTTGAGTCACTTCAAACCAGTTTGGCAAAGCAAACATTCTTGGGTGTTTCTTCTCAATTTGGAATTAGTCCAAATTTCCCCCTGCAGGATCCAGGATAGACAGATTCTTGCTTTCTTCTTCTATTGGGTGGGTGGTGAAGTCTTTTTAGTTTTCTTTTAAAACTGATCCCTGTTCTCATTCTATGAGCTTCCTTTACATCCTGGTTTTCTTTGAAATAGGTTTATGGTGGTCTGTAATCTTAATCCAGCAGCCTCTTGCAAAACTATCCAGTGTTTAGGAAACATCCTTCAGCCTTTTTTAGTCTGAAGGATTATGGGATGCTTTGGGAACCCTTTATTGATAAGCTAGAATGTTATTGAGTGAGTCAATCAAAGAAACCAAAAGGGGGGCAAACCTAACACCAAAACAAAAACCCTAACACAACTCTCCCAAGGTTCATGTCCGGGTTCTTCTTCTAGAATAATGGAGAGATCTTACATGTCCAAGCTAAGGGCAAAATAAGTATTAAGTATCGAATCAAGTTTATCCACTAATATATTTGGCCTGTAGAGATAGCTCAATGGATGGGAGTGCTCCCTGAGAATTAAAGCAGGAGTAACTCCCATTGGGTGTAACCTCAAAACAAAATGAAAGAAAGAAATCTGATTGATTGTAAAATATAAACTTCCACTTCTTCTTAATGGTAGCACACAATCATCAACTAGTACTTCCTTCCTTTTTATACATTCCATCTCTGAGCTAAATCACTCTAGCTATTCCCTGAGGTTGTCATTAATTCCTGGACAGTGTCCTGGTGAAAGGCATATAAATGGTAAGATTTGGCTTAACCCTTCCTGGATGTTCCTGACCCAATCGCAAGCTTCTTCTTTTTCTCTCTAGTTTTACCAGGGATTGCTCAATGACTTGCAGCCTGGGACTCTCTGGATTGGCTCTGAGGGTCTATTTGCACTGGGGTTGAAATCAGCCTGCGTTTCTGGAGAGGAGTTTGCCATCTGTTGTTTTCAAACCACATATGCCCTGGCTTCATAAACCTATGTGTAGCATTTGAATATTTCCTCTTAGCCTCAGTCAAGCACTATACCCCTAAAGTTGTTAGCTGATTATCTAGAAAGGGGGAGTTGTTTTTCTAGTGAGGAACACTCTGACTCCAAGGGCTTGCCCAGACTGAGTGATTCAATCTAACACCTTCCCGGTTCCCAAATGAGTCACTGCAGGGCTATACTCCAGTAACAAAGGGGCAGAGAGTGAATGTTTAAGATCACCCTCACTTTGAACTGCTCAACTTAATGTGGATTGTATCTTCCTTTGAATTTAGCCTCTAAGGGTGTGACAGCTTGGAACTATTAAGGTGGGACAGAGAACCCAAAATAAAGGGATCAAGAAAAGAATTAAGGGCTTGTATAAATTATTCCAGGGGTCAGAGTCAAAGACAGTAATTATTTATTGACTTATCAGTGGTGGTGGTAGATTAAAATCCCAAAGGGAGTACTGGGATCTGAAGATCTACACTGAGGCTGAGACAATGAGATAATTAGTAACCAGCAATAGTCACTTCCATTCACCCAACTCTGCAGCCCATGTACTGATTTCTCTACTGACTGTGGGTTTTTCAAAGGCTTCTAATTACTAATATCTACATTCAAAAATGACTTTTCATGTTCTAAAGATGAGCATGTGTCATGAATGTTCATGTGTGAGAAAAAAAAAAGGTTGGGAAGGGAGTTTGTAGTTTCCAAAATAATGACTCACGGGACAAAGAGCAAGCATGTTTTATTGTATAATCTGAACAGTAGCATTTGCAGCTGGCTGCATCCCAGGAGCTGCGAAAAGGCTCATTTACCAAGGGCCTAGGATAAGTGTGAATGAGATGCGGGCTCCTCGGTCTGAAAGCAACATTTAAACAAGGAACAAGTAAAAAGTAAATAAAATAAATATGAAAAAAAGGGGAAGTGATGCCTGAGCAGGCTAAAGTTGAAACTTCTATGGGTGTCTCCACCCAGGCAGCTGTCAGTTAGCTGAGTTTGATGAACTGGTCTAAGGAATATACTTGTACAGATGGAATGGATCACTGTATCACTGTCACTGTCATCCCGTTGTTCATTAACTCAAGCGGGCACCAGTAACGTCTCCATTCATTCCGACCCTGAGATTTTAGCAGCCTCTCTTTACTTGTCTTTCCCAAAAACTGTTTTTGGCTTATCAAATATGCCACGGGTAGCTTGCCAGGCTCTGCTGTACATGGAATGGATAACATGCGTTTAAATTTCCGCTCTCCTTATCTGAGGAGCTTGGGGACCTCAGTTTCCCCTCTAATACGGCACCCACTAGCATCTCCTTCACAGGGTTGCTGTTCTAGGCTCATGGTGCTCCCTCACTTTTTCAACAGGGTTCTGGATTTCAATTTTTGGTCCCCTGTATCTGGCCATAGAAAAGCTAGGGAATAGCCCGGAGATTCTAATTTGTTTCTGAAGTTGGGTTCCCTGCCTTGCAGAGCTTCACTGGGGTTTAAGAGATAAGCAAGTCAAGGGTGTTTCGAAGGAGGAAGGCTGCAACTGAAGGGTTATTCCCCAGCCCCCAACTGACTTTTAGTGAATGAATTCTGAATTGAGTAAGGGAACAGCAATGGGTTAAAAGTAAACTGAAGGGAGTTTCTTCATTTCCCTCCCAACCCCCAGTCCTTCTCCCCTTTTGTACTCTTAAGTGTTATCTTTAAGTTTCTTTCCCTACTCCCATAGCTCTCAGGAGACTAAGGGGGCCTTCTGCCCCCTTAGTCTTCCAAGTAGCAACTCTGGCCTTTATCACCAATTTCCAGGAAGCATTTTATAACCCTGAGAACCGAAGACTTTAAAGCCCTCAGACCTTAAAGCCCTCGGTCCATTTTAACAAAATGCCCTTATTTTTTTAATTCGTTTTTTTTTCTTTTGCAAAGCCCATGTTTTCCACCACCAGCTACAACCTGGGCCCTTGCCCTTCTGTAAACAACTTCTTTCCCCATCTTTGTAAGCCTATTCTGAGGACCACATTGTGTAGTAGTTGATGAAAAGAGAATGGAGGAAGGAAAAGAAAAGTAACCAAACACTCACAACTTAAGATTTGGCTCAATTGTATATTTGCCAGTTATTTTATTTTTTTCTAAAAACAATAGAAAAAAAATCAACTTTAAAAAGGAAAATGTACTTAAATAAAAAAATTATGGTTTATAATACAGGGGTTTTTGAAATCTCCAATACCTGTTATAAACGTTTTATTAAAGTTATTTACATTTAATGGTCATATTTACACAGAATTTTTTTTTAAAAACAATTCTTAAATACAAATCTGTGAAAAGAAAAAAAATGGCAAGCATAAAAAAAAGTTCTTTTATGCCCAAAGTCCCAGTTGAGGCAGTTTACATTATGGCTAAACCTTTCAGTCCTAAGACCCAGCCACGGTTGTGAGGTTGCACTTGACCATCATGCATTTTGAAAGAAAGTCAGTCCATAGTGGATCTGGCAGTTCTGTCAGAAGGAACCTTCCCCCTTACTTTCCCTTAGTAACAAGTGAGAGTTCACTGGTGGTTCCAGTTCCTCCCTCCAATAGGTCACCTCATGCACAAGAGTTCCGTAGTTGTTCAAGTTTATGTTTCAACTGTTCCCGCCGCTTCCGTAACAAGTCCTTCTCAGAAATGAGCTTCTGCTCTTCTATTTGGACCGACTGGATATAGGTGGTCGCTTTTTTGAGGATAACGACCTTAGGGGCCTTCTCATTGTTTTCCAACTCTGGGATCTGGTCGCGCAGGGCAAAAAAGCTCCTTTTCAACTCATTCCTCCTCTGGCGTTCCAAGACGTTGTGTGTCCGCCTCTTGTCATTCTCCTCTGTGTCTGAGGACCTGGGGCTGGTGCATTTGCGGTTATTGCTGATCTGTTTCAGAACTCTGCCACTGTCCAACTTAGCCCTCTTGGCGGCTGGATAGTCCTTCCTGGTCGAGGGGGGCGCTGCGTAATTGTGCTGATGGGTGGACACATGGCACCTCTTAAGGACGAGCGGGCTGTGAGGAGGTTTGCTGTGGCTGCCTGCAGATGGGGACCCCGATTCTGACCTTCGGGGGGGCTGCCTCTTTTCCACGGAAACAACATCGATTTCTTCCTCATCTTCTTGTTCTTCCTCTTTAAGGAAATAAAGATCACCAGGGTTAGCTTCCAGAGAAGATGAATGCTATCTATGCAAACATAAGCCCTTACTTGGTGCACCCCCCCACCCCCAGAAGTAGCCAGTTACCCCTGCTCTCCTCCCCATGGGAGGCTGAGTCTCAGAAAGGGAGGAGAAGGACAGCTGGATTTATGAGACAGACAAGAAAATTACATTTTACCAGGATAGAACATTGTTGCCAATTCTTACCTAAGACTTAATGAGGCTTTTGGACACACCCAAAGCACATTCCCAGCACCTCCTATTTATTTCTAAGGGACTTTACCTAGGAACCCTTCAGGTATGGCAAATGCTAGCTGCAAATTTTTGGGGTTTGAGTTTAGCAACTCCCTATTTTACTGATAGTGGAAAAAAAACAGACAACCACACAAAACTTGCAGCTTTGCCAAAAGTCCTGGGGGTGGGGTGGGGCTGAGAAGGGGAAAAAAACCCTCCTAATTTTGACAAGAATTTACTTTTAGATTTTGATGGGGCAAAGTGCTCTAAAAGCGCTCTCTTTGGACACTTTCACTAAGTCCCAGCACCCAGGCCGGAAGTGCTATGCCTCAGTCCACAGCTCCTTTTCATTTCAGTTCACAGGTTAGGTCATCAGATTCCAACTTCCCAGAAGTTAGGAGAGGGTGGGGGCAATCCATTCAACTTCAGAGGAGGTCAATCCTTATTCACACCGCCCTGCACTCTACCCCTGTCCTGGGGCAATTCAAAGGCTCAAGAAAGGAAGGGGATGGATAGAGTTGCAGGATAAGCCAAGACGATTAAAAACAAAGCAAGGGCCCCTCCTCGCCCCCAAAATACCCAAAGGAAATTCCTAAGGGGCCAGAAAGAAGGGGCTGGCTACTAGGGCGGTCTTGGCGGAGAAAGGGGCAGGGACCACTGTAAGTTTTGACTGAGGAGTGTCGAGCACCCAGATCCTGCCAGAAGCTGCCGTTTTCCCCAAAATATGTACGGGGTGAGGGGGAGAGAAGGCATTTTTGCACAGAACGGTGTCCGGCTGAACAAACCATCGGGCCCAGGAGAGACTAGGAAAGTTTCCCACCCCCGACCTGTAGGCACCCGCGGCTCACCCGAGTCGCTGCTGGTGGTGGGTGGGGTGTCCTCATGGAGCACCAGGGGCTGCGGGCTGGCCTGCGGGGACGACTCGGCAGAGGACAGCAGAGAGTCCGAGCACGGGGAGAAGGCGCTGGAGTCGGGCGAGGAGCAGGACTTGGGCGAGTTGTTGTCGTTGAGCGGGTAGGGGAAGACCACGGAGGGGTCGATGCACTCGGAGGCGGCGGCGCTCATGTCCTGCAGGTACAAGCTGGAGGTGGAGCAGCCGCCGTGGGCGCGGGCGGGGCTGGGGCTGCCGCTGTCTTTGCGCGCAGCCTGGTAGGACGCCAGCTTCTCGGAGACGAGCTTGGCGGCGGCCGAGAAGCCGCTCCACATGCAGTCCTGGATGATGATGTTCTTGATGAACGTCTCGTCGTCGGGGTCGCAGATGAAGCTCTGGTTCACCATGTCCCCCCCCAACAGCTCGGTCACCATCTCCAGCTGGTCGGCGGTGGAGAAGCTGCCGCCGCCGCCGTCATCGTCCCCCCGTGGGGAGAAGGACGCGACGGCGAAGTAGGAGGGCGAGCAGAGCCCCGAGCGGCGGCTGGGGGACAGGGGCGGGGTGGGCAGCAGCTCGAATTTCTTCCAGATATCCTCGCTGGGCGCGGGCGGCTGCAGCTCGCTCTGCTGCTGCTGCTGGTAGAAGTTCTCCTCCTCGTCGCAGTAGAAATAGGGCTGCACCGAGTCGTAGTCGAGGTCATAGTTTCTGCTAGCAAAGCTGACGTTGAGCGGCATCGCGGCAGCCTGCAGAGGGGGCGACACAAAAGCGGGGCAGCGTTGAGTGAGGGTGGGGGGTTCTCGGTGGGTGCCGGAGGCCCCAGCGGGGAAGGGGCGTGCGCGCGCGCGCGCGCACACGCACACACACACACACACACACACACACACACACTCCCACACTCCACTTTCACCCGGCTCGGGTGGATCCCCTGCCATCTGTGACACACACACTTATGAATCGGCTGGGGAAGTGTCGCTCGGGCCTCGGAGGGTCGCTCTGCTGGGCCCCGGGAGCCGGGAAGAGCGCGCGGCCCCGCCAGCGTGGAACCAAGAGTCCGCCCGCCCGCGCTGGCCTCTTGTGGACGCGGCGGCCCGGGAATAGAAAACGCCGGAGCCCAAGCGCAAAGTTTTGCGCCACCTGGAGAAGGCAAGAGGCACCGCGGCGGGAGCGGCCGCGCGAGTCCCCCTCCCGCGCGGGGGCCCCCCGGCGCCGCGCCCCTTCCCACTCGCGCCCTCGCCTGCTCAGTTCCCCGCGGGCGCCGCCGCCCCTCTCTCCACCTCCCCTTCTCCGCCTCCTCCATCTCCACCCCCAGCGCGCCCCCCTTCCTGCCTCTGCCGGCTTTTCTTTTCTCTCTGGCTCGCTGCTGTGGCCAGCCTCCGGTCTGAACACCCCCCCCCCCCCCACCTCCCAATAAATAAAAGAGGGGCGTTTAGCAAAACAGGGGCGCTTCCTTGCAAGACCCATTACGGCGCGCAACTGCACCAGGGACCCTAATGGGATTCCGCACCCTGAGCCGGGGCGTCTTTGGCTCCTCCGCCGAGGCTAGCAGCTGTTCTGAAAAGGCCCGGCTCCTCGCGGTGCCAAATCCCCCCGGGATCTCCGGGGTTCGGGGTCACCCTTGCTGGGACCCAAGAGACGGCAGGGGCGCCAAGGCGGGGTGCGGAGATGCGCTTTCGTTCCCCCTCCCGCAGCCCCCCAAGTCAGTTATTCCAGAACCGGACTCATCCCGGCTCAGGCTTTCTCCCCTTTCCGAGCCTCTCCAACACCAAGTCCTAGCATTTTTTTTTTTTTTGCAGACCCATATCTCTAATCTGATTATTCTTTCTTAAAAGTCCAAAATGCCAACTTCTAAAAAAGGAGCAGGCGGGCGAATGGCACACGCCTTGGAGATCCGCGGGCGGTACACGCGCGGCAGCGTCTGTCTGCGGCTGTCAGAAATTCTGTAAGCCGAAATTTAAATGTCCTTTCTGAGACAAGGAAAAGTCAGCGGCTCCGAGCTCTCACTCACACCCGCGGTACTACCGCTTAGAAGGCGCTCACATTAGCAATATGGAATTCTTACTCCAGCGAGCTCAGGATGCAAAGATTTCTGCCTACTCCAAAGGACAGAGCCCTTCATCCCCAACACCCCCAAGCGGGGGTGGTTGAGGGGATGAGCAATTAATCCAATAAAGCAGGAATCTTCCAACTGACCAGGATGTGTCAATATATAGACCCTCTCAAAAAACTCTAAATAGTTTCAAAAACGCTCTCCGTCTTTTTTTTTTCTTTCCCCTTCTTCTGCCACCTCCCGAATCTCATCTTGACAAGTCTACCCCGATCCAGTTCTGGTTGGTCCCCACCCTATCCCGACCCACCACAACTACTCCAAGCAAAGTGTCAATAGCAGGAATGAGAGAAAAGACATCCCGATTTGGACATTCAACTCCGCGCGGCATGAAACGGCAGAGAAAATAAATTAAAAAAAAAAAAGAAAAAGAAAGAAAGAAAGAAAATGATCTGGGTGCTTACCGGGTTTTCCACTATCCGAAGGAAATCCAACGTCTCCCCCCTCCCCCCAAAAAAGCGGAGAAGAAGCGCCTTTGAGAGGAGTGGGCAGTCGCCGGGGAAAGTGTCCTCTTAAATGGGCAGAAGAGTCTCTCCGAGTGGGAAAGGCGGCTTCGCCGCAGCCTTGTTCTCGATCGGGTTTTGTAAGTTCCAGTGCAAAAGTGCCGGTCCGCGGCAATGGGCAAAGTTTCTGGGATGCGGCGGGGGTCGCGAGGAGGGTGGGCTGGGGAGAGGCGGCGGCAGGGCCGGGGACCGAGGAGGCTCCCCTTTCGCTGCGCTCCCCCGTCTCTGCGCGCCCGCAGCGCGTCTCCGCTGGGCTCCGCAAGCTTCGCTCTTCCACCCTCGCAGGCCCGCCCCGCTCGCTCGCTCGCTCGGCCTCTCCGGCTGGAATTACTACAGCGAGTCGAAGAAAGCCCAGAAAAAATGCTCTTTTATACTGGGCTGGAGTAGACGAAGATCCCTCCCCCTTGTTTTTCCCGCCAACCTCTGAGAAGCCCAGCCCTTTCCCCCCCCCAGACTGGAGAGGAACCGAGCGGCCGCCGGGGCCGAGCGGCAGAGGAAGGAACCGCCTAGAGGTGCGCAGCTCGGGGGTCTCCGAACGAGCCGACCCTCGCCTATAAAAGGCGGGTGGGCGGGGATTTCTCCTAAGAGGATCTTTTTTCTTCTCCCCCGGAGGAGGAGGAGGGGAGGAGGTGGGAGGGGGCGCTGGTGCCGAGGGAGGGCCGCTGGGGAGGAGACTCGCAGCCTGGCATCTAGTGCGCCGAGTTGCCCGATGTAAACACTGAGCGCGCAGCTGAATTAACTGCATGCGCTCCCATTTTATGTCGCTCGCGTTCAAACCTCGCTTTCTCCCCTCCCCTCCTTTTTTTTTTTTTTGCTTTCTCCTGCTCCACTGGCGCAGTGCTCTGTTTGACAAGCCGCATACTTCTTTGCTGCCAGCTTAAATCATCGCTGGCGGAACAGCTGAACCCTCAACTCTGAGAATACACTGCGTACCCACCGCCACGCCACGCACGTCCCAGGCGGGCGGGCGCCTCCCTAAGGCTGGGGAAAGGGCAGTGTTGGAAAAATAAGTCTCGGAAGACAAGGAGCAAAGGAAGGGTATTTATGGGCGCGCGCAGAGCGTGTGTGTGTGTAGGGTCGGGGGGCGGGGAGGGAGGATGTTAGTGTAGATGGGGATAAATGATAAGCGGTCTAGGGAGGGAAATGATTCTTAGAATGATTAAAAAAAATAACTGCAACACATTGCCACGTACACTTGGAGACGCGGTATGAATAAAACACCCAGTGTATTTATTGGGGAGTGTGATGCTTTATGCATTATGTGTGTACAGCTATCTCCGCCGAGCTCCTACCGCCCAGAATGAATTCCCCCAATTTGCTGCCCAAACAGCAGAACCCTCCAGCCCCCGCCCGCTCAGATCTCCACGGAAGCTGGGTCTCCCCCTCCCCTCTGCCCCCTCCCCCTCCCCCGCCCCGACGTGCTAATCCCGCTGTGATTTTTTTTCTGCGCGTTTCCGAGCTGGATGGAGTATTGGGGAGGTCCGTGGTTGAGGATGGGTGCAGCTGGGAGGGTTGTGGGGGCGGGGGGAGCTCTCCACTCGCTCTCCACCGGCTTTCGCCCTCCTGCTGTCCTCGGCGCCCCTTCCCGAGTTTCCCAGTTCCCGGAGAAGCCGGGCTTCTGAAGAGACAAATCCCTTTTGCACCCCGTGGCTCCGATTTGCACCGCTCTGCGGACTCACAGGTTTTGGGGGAAATCAAAGGCGCTAGACGGGAGAATATTGGGGAGGGGTCGAGACCGGACTCCCAGGAAGAGGGGAAGTGGAGAGTCCGCCCGTGGTGTTGGAGGAGACACTAAGTGAAGGAAACCGTTAACTCTTTCCTCCTCGGACGGACCGGACGTGGTTACTTCCTTTCTGCTCTCCTCTTCCCTTTATTATTAGAATCTTGGTTGCGTTACAAATGGATGCGTCTGTTCAATGGCAGGGAGCCTTCTACCACTTCCTTGCCCTCCCCGCTCCCTTCGGGACCTCGAGCCAATTAAAACATTGTCCGAATTTCAGGCGTTATTACCTAGGTCACCGACTATGCCCCCCTCCCCCCACGCCGTAGTGAAAGTTCCTAATGTATAATCTGCGCACTGCTGTATGCATTTCATGAATCCGTCGACCCAGAATATCCCACGCGACACATGACTTGGTAGCCTTCTGAATGAATATATATTTAACGTGCCCCTTGGGATTAGCTCTTTTGTTATACTAGGGCATTAAGCACAAAGACAATAACCCCATCCTTGCTCCCCCGCCCAAAGATATTTAAAGCAAACTTTTTTTTTAACTGCACGCCCCGCCCCCCTCTTTCAAAAAAAAAAACAAACCGAAAAGAAAATATATTCGGGGCGAGGGGCGCGTGGAAGGAGTGCTTGTGTTTAAGATAAATTATTACCCGTGGAGTTAGGAGCTCAGCGTTCAATTGTTAAATGAGTAGTAACTTCCAAGTCCTACGCACAGCACAATTCAGCTTGAAGGACTGCAAATTACTCCAGCCCCGAGGCCTTTGCAGCAAAGAGGGGAGCGACCAATCCCTGGATTTGCAGCAAAACGTCTTACCCACCGCCCCCTCGTCGCGCGGCCCGGGAGCTCTGGCTGCGAAAGTAAAGTAAGTGCGCCCTCTACTGGCCTCGGGGACGACCGCGGAGAGCAGTGGGGGAGGGGGTGGGGGCAGGGCCGTCCGCGGCCACGGGTGTTCCTTAAAACGAGTTTCCAGCCACCTCCTCTGGATTCCTCCTGACAGGCCGCAGAAGGAGGCAAGAGAGGAATTCCTGGATGGAAAAGTGGTTCAAGAGACCGTTTCTTGAAAGCGGTGGTGAAAACGAACTGATCACTGTTTATTAACAATGACTATCTTCGGGAGAACGGATGCTTTTTCTGGGGATACGTAAAAGAACACACACACACACACACACACACACACACACACACACACACACACACACACCACACACAGAGGCATGCACATTTCTAACAAATTCCAAAGCAGCAAAGCAAACTCGGCTCCCTGTTACCATCTAACCACGAAGTTTGAAAGCAATACTGAGCAGTAGTGAGGAGTATTCGGTTTTGCTTATTATTTTGAAGGAAAAAAAATCAGAATGGTGAACAATAACTCTATGCTTTGATAGTAATGGGTGGGGGAGGGAACATCTGTGAGACCATTGAGAAAAAGTGTGAGATACCATTTTAATAAGTCGTTTTCATACCAAAAGGACGAGGCAGCAAAGGGCAGGAAATTTACACAGCATGCTTCCGGTGGATTTCAAGTAGTTTTTTTTTTTTTTTTTGAGGAGAGGTTGTTTGACCGTGTCTGATCACCTGGATGTCCCCTTAGGCAATTTGTCTAGGGGAAGCGGGAGGGGCGGGGAAGAACCTTCCCGGATGAGGTCCGGGTGTGCTGCCAGTCCCTGGAATCTTTCTCCTTGGCTGCTCAGATGCTCAAATGCTCCATGGGGGCAAAAGCCCATCACCCACTCAAAGACCAGCCTCTAAATGTCTGTCAAGTTTGACTTGCCGGTAGTAGTTTTTGAAAGTTGCTGAAGATGGGAAGGTCTGGCTTACCATGTCAGGCCGGTGGGGTGTGGGACTTGTGAACTCAGGCATCAGCCCCTCGGTGTCCCCGGGCTAGTTCTATCACTTGGGGTGTTACATTCACGTTAACACCTTAACCAGAGCTTGTTCTTCACCCCCTCCACCCCCCCACCTCCCAAGTAAGTTGGGGATCATCCCATTTTACAGCTCAGGAAACGGTTGTTCCATCTCGGTAGGGTGAAGGGACTTCACTGTTTTTCTTTCAGTCATTTAAAAGAAACATCTGACCTAAAGTAGACGGACATTTGTCAACTTGAGAAATGCTAGAGACTGAAATCAACCATCCTGTCTGAGATGACCAAAGCAATGTTAGCTCATCGCAGAAGGACAATTGTAAGCTAGGAAAAAAGGAAAATCAGGGTCTAAGGGAATTCAAAGATCCAGATCTCCCACAGATAGCTGCTGAAGGTAATCCCTGAAGGACTCTTCTAGGGTTTAGTTTTTGTTCTATTGTTTTTGGGCCAATCCAGACTCTCTGCTGGTGTAGGGAGGGAGGGTGTGCTGCTCTTGCAGGATTCAGGGGACCACACAGTGCCAGAGATTGAACCTGGAATTCCTAAGTGCAAATCTTGCACTCCAACCCTAGAGCCATCTCTCATCTCTCTGGCCCTTGCTGGGCACTTTTTGAGAGAATAACTTACTTTTGGAAGTCCAGGTAACTGTGTCTATTGAGTGAACATCTGATTTGCAGTTGAAGAGACTACAGTGCTCTGTTTTTTTTAATCCCCCTCCTCTCCTATGTTGGGGGAGGGGAGAGGTGCAGGAATTCTAAGAATAGGAGGTTCCCCCAGGACATCTTTGTTATCACCAACACCACAGGCAAACTGTCCCTTAAGATTGCCTCACCAAAGGGAACTCCAGTTCCTCTTAAAAGGTTCAAAAAAGAATCATAAAGTCTCACAACCTCATTTTCATAACAGCAGTTTTGAATTTAGGAGAAAGGATTCTACCTCTTCTTCCCTCTGTTCTCTTCTTTGAAGACATTTTTCCCTCACTCCTCAGGATGGTTTCCAACTGAGTTGATCTATCCACAGGTAAGAACAGTAGCTAATAAGGAAAGGTACTAACTACAGTACCCTGGAGATCACCACGCTAGTGGCTGCTTGTGGATCCCACAGAAACCCCCTGCTCCCAATAATGGGTCCTTAGTCCAAGCTTCCTTCACTTCCTCTGAGACCTGTTAGAGTGTCAGTCAGAGAGGGAAGAGAATAAAAATACCCGTCTCTCACAGAAAGATCATATTGAGAGGACTGGTGGATTAAAAATCAAGCCAGCAGCTCAGATAGAGAAGGGGCCACCAGGTAAAGGGTGCTTGGAGGGTCCGCTCAGGATGGGAGATGTGTGCTGAAAGTAGACTACAGACCGAATGATGGCCACTCAATACCTCTATTGCAAACCACAACACCCAAAAGGAAAGAGAGAGCAGAGGGAATGCCCTGCCACAGAGGTGGGGTGTGTGTGGGGGGATTGGGTGAGGGTGGTGGGAGGTTTACTGGGATCATTGGTGGTGGAGAATGGGCACTGGTGGAGGGATGGCTACTCACTGGATCATTGTATAACTGAAACATAAGCACAAAAGTTTGTAAGTCTGTAACTGTACCTCACGGTGATTCATTAAAAAAAAAAAAGAAAAAAAATATCAAGCCGGCAAGGTGATGGTAAAAGAAGGGAGCTTTAGAGTATTTTAAGATCAGTCTTGTGCCCCAAGGAGAGGAAGACAGCAAAGCAGCTCTTCAACACAGAAGAAATAACTTTCAGCTTCATTCAC